TTTGTCTTCCCTGTAGCTCAAGATGGCTTCAAACTCCTAATCCCAGACCCAAAGTAATACACACACCTTTAATCCCAACACTCAGGAGGTAGAGGCAGGTGGAGCTCTGAATTCAACACCAGCCTGGTCTACATATCAAGTTCCAGTAAGCCAAGGCTACATAGTGAGATCTTGTCTGAAAACAACAAGAAGATCTTTATGTCATGGGCCCTTTTATGCCCAGATCACAAAATCTCCCAAAAGCCAATGTGAAGACCAAATCCCGTATGTAAAAGCAAAGAGACTTTATTCAAGCTCAAGCTTAGACTCTGTCCTACATAGCAGTTGAGAGCAGAGAGTGCCCAGCCCAGGTGGGGTAGGTTTTTCATCATAGCAGATATTGGGGGTGAGAAGATTTTCGGGGTTCAAGACCCTGATTGGCTGATATTTGTTTACAGGTGTGTGCTTAGGCTAAGGGACATCGGGTGATCCTATCTACAATGGTTGGAACATTGTATGGTTGGATGGTCTGATCCTGGGTGGTGCCCAGGTGGTCCCAGCTTGTGGTCTCTCTTGGAGTTAGGTGTTGCCCCAGGGTAAATTGAAACACCTGGCCTTCTTTCTGGTTGGTCTCCACAGAGCCTTAGCATGGCAGAGCCTTAGCATGGCAGCAGTGTGGGCAACCTGCAGGTGTGTACCAAGTTTCCCTTGGCCTCGTAAGCCCAAGTGATGAAAGTAATCTGAGTTTGTCCTCCAGGCCCCAAGTAGTGGAAGGACAGAACAACCAGTTACGGTCCCACTGTCCTCTGATCTTCTCAGGCAGGCCAGGACAAGTGCACACCCACAAATAGAGAGTGGTGATATCTGCCTATCATCCTAGCACTTTGAAGGTAGAGACAGGAGGGCCAGAAGTTAAAGGCCAGACTGATCCTGACTCAAACAAAACAACAGGAATGACAAATTAAACAGAAAACAACAACAAAACAAAAAAACCAACCAACCAAACCAAAAAAAGAAAAAAAAAAAAAAAAAAAAGAAAACCCAAAATCCTACAATAGCAAAAGGTGAGGAATGAAAACTAAGCCTGTTTTCTCCACTGGGACAAAGTTCATCCCACTATCAGTAATCATTAACTGTTTCTTGTGACTTAAACTCAATCTCACCAGTGCAAGCCCAGTGAAAAGACACAGGAATAGACCTGGACTGCCCAGGCTGCCCAGTGTTTCCATGAGAGCCTCATGCTCAGCATAAGGGTCCCATTCTTCCTCTTCTTTGCTCACTTTCTCTTGAACAGCTCTACAGGTATACCTGTTGACTTGCCCTCATCTTCTGGATGGTTTGGTGACTGTTTCTTGGAAGTGGAGATTGTGTTATTGTGTCTGTTACTATGTTATTATGTCTGACTCTTTATGTACCCAGATGTTTGGGTAGGGTTGTTTTCTTTCTCTCTCTTTTTCTGATTTTTGGAGACAGGATTTCTCTATGTAGCTTTGGAGTCTGTATTGGAACTCAGTCTATAGCCAGGCTAGTCTTGAACTTACAGATATCCACCTGCCTCTGCCTCCTGAGTGCTGAGATTAAAGGCATGTGCCACCAGGCCCTGCTCTTCTTCTTCCTCCTCCTCCTTCTTCTTTTTGAGGCACTTCCCTATAAAAACAAGGTTGGCTGTGACTCTGTATTCCTGTCTCAGCCTCTGGGACTGGTAGTATTTCAGGCCTACACCAAGATCACAGGCTTCATCTTCTATCTCCATTACAAATAGAGCTGCCCTAAAGATTACTGTAGTAAGCCTTTGTTTACAGGGAGGACCTCAGGCCCTGTGTGCCATGCTTGGATTAGTGAATCTTTTAATTCTTGCAGAGAAGTTCTTTTTGCAGGAAATAGTGATTAACACAGAGATTCATAATTTGGTCAATGTTGTTTTTTTGATACAACTATTGCCTAAGAAACACAAACCAGAGACTCAGTGCCCACGTGGAGTTTATTGAGAGAAGGGAGGGAAAGAGGGGTAGCTGGTGGCCAACCAAAAGCAGGAGAGAGAGAGAGAGAGAGAGAGAGAGAGAGAGAGAGAGAGAGAGAGAGCGCACAAGAGGGAGAGAAAAGGAACAAGAGAGAGAGAGGAGCCAAAGGAGCTTGGCACATTTGCTTTAAAAGGGAAACTTGCGCATGCTTAACTGAGTCCCCTGGCAGCCAGGTAAACTTGAGCAGCCAGTTAAGTCATGAGGTAGATAAGACAAGGCCATGAGCATCCTGCCCATCATCAGGGGGCAGGGTCAGCAGACTGCTAGTTCCCAACAGTCAATGCACTAGAAGAAGAGACTATATTGCCTACACACCTTTGAGGCTCAGGGTTCTTTGCAGAATAGGGGGTAAAAAGATTATAAGAGGCAGAGGGAGGGAGGGAGAGAGAGAGGATATGACTCAATACAACAGGGTATCTGCATATATGAACCCACAAAGACAGGGGTAGCCTGCACAAGACCTGGGAAAGTTCAAGTCAAAGTCTCAGCTCACGTCCCACCCTTAACTGAGGAACTATTGGCAACTGATGGCCACAGGAGAGGGAGAGTCAGTTTTCTTCAGGTAGGTCCCACCAGACAGGCTACTATGGTAGATGACCCTACATCCATTCACATACAGGCAGCACTAAGTGGACCTAGTGGGAAAAACAACAAAAAATAATAAACCAAAACAAATAGGAAAAAAAAAATCCCGTGAAATTTGAGGAGAGGGAAATAGGGTAACCTTGACCAAAACACTTCATATGCATATACACAATTCTCAAACAATAGAAAGATATGTATCACAGATTTTTCCCTTTAGGAATACATACTTTCTCTTTTCTTTCTTTTTCATGGTTTTCAAGACAGGGTTTCTCAGTGTAACAGTCCTGTGGGTCCTGGGACTTACCGAGATCCGCCTGTCTCTGCCTCCCAAATCCTGGCTGTGGTGGTGTACTGCTTTAAACCCAGAAGAGGCAGAATCAGGAGGATCTTTATGAGTTCCAGGACAGCAAGGGCTACGAAGTGAGACTGTTAAACACGAGAGAGAGAGAGAGAGAGAGAGAGAGAGAGAGAGAGAGAGAGAGAGAGAGAGAGAGAGAGAGAGAGAGAAGCAAAACATCCAGGAGCTTGGAAATTGCAATTAAAAAAAAAAAATCTTCGTGAAGATCTGTTAAAGTTCTCTGATTTGTTGGTTGGACTAACGATCCTTAGTGAGTTCTCAATGCAGAAACGTCCATATCTCTTTAGGGCCAGGTGCTTGCAGCCCCAGAAACCGGTTCCCACTAGAGGCTCAGTGCCCACTGCAGGTAGAAAGGCACTCTGAAGCCTATCCCTGCAGAAGATTATTGGCTACTTGGTCTTAGAGTGCTAGAGACTTTTTGGTTGACTTCCGGCCTCCAGAACTCCACGCTCCGCATGGTTCCCTTTTCCTTCCGGTCTGGACTGGGCTGGCTGTGAGTCTTTCCTTTGCACTAGGAGACTGTCTGTTTTTTGAAATACGCTGTAACACTTTAACATCTGTGTTCTGGTGTTAAGGAGGTTAAGGCAGGAGAATAGCGAGTTCGAGGTCAGCCTAGGTTACATAGTAAATCCAGATCAGCATTGGCTACAAGGGAAGACCCAGTCTCAAAAAGCCCTAAAAACAAACAAACAAAACACTACCCTCCCCAAATCAAATGAATTCAAGTTAACTTGTTTTCAGGGTTTCATGTCACCTAGGCCTCAGACTTGCTACTAGCCCAGGATGACCTGAAATTCTCTCCTTGCCTCCACCTCCAGAGATCCCCGGGGAACACATACCAAGGTCCTATCTTTACCTAGAATTCGGACTACAGCTCTTTAGTATAAAACGCTCACTTTTAATCCCAGCACTTGGGGGGGCACAGGCAAGCGGATCTCTGAGTTCAAGGCCAGCCTGGTCTACAAAGTGAGTTCCAGCACAGCCAGGATTGTCACAGAGAAACCCTGTCTCGAAAAACAAACAAAATGCTCATGGTGGCCAAGCAGAGGGCAGTAGGAGGAGCTACTTGGTCCCCAGAGCGTTTGTGGGGGGAATTTAAGGAGTGTCTGCCTAAGAGTTGGATAAGTTTCCATTTCAATTAGAAAAGCATGTGACAAAGGCTGGTGGTGACGAATCCCGTGGTGGCCGCAGGTCTGAGTGACCAGAGTAGGGATCTTAGTCTCTGCAATCATGAGGGAAAACCTCCTGAAAACGTCCGAGGGCCACTTATGCACCACCTGCTGGGAAGCCACGAGAGGACGTGCGCGTTCCCCGCGAGGCTGCAGCAGGGTATGCTTTGAGGTCCCCTGCCCGAGCCAGTTTCGCTGTGCTCTGTGGCCACTGCATTCGTGCTGATTAATGGTAAGGGTCAACATTGAGGGTTCTTCAGAAACGCATGCAGAAAAAAAAAGTTTTGATGTGAAGAGGAAAAACAAAACACAACTAAACCCGGGAAACTTTGTCACTTGAATCCTTGGGTACCAAAGTCGCCGGGGAAGGTAGGAGGGGGGTCCTCGGGGACAGGACTCGACCTATGAGAAAGAGAAAGGAAAAGAGAACGGAACGCGTAGCTAGCACACATCCTCTTAACCGCCCCAGAGGACGCGGCGGCCCTGGGGTTGTCTTTGGCGAGGTCCATCCCTCCTTGTCAATCAGCCCCACCTGGCATTGCGATTGGCTGATGGCTTTCTTGCTCCCCCGCGCCCCACCTCTTACTTGCATGGGGTTTACTTCCCCAAAGTACACGGGCCCCACCTTGTGGATCAACCGCTCCTGCCTGAACCGAGGGTTTCCGCCCAGAGGAAGATATTTAAGCCAATGAGAGTGGATGTGTACAGTTATTGGTTTGTCTGGGTGTCGCTCACAGGGCATCCCGCCCTCAGTTTCATAGTTCATTCAAGTATTGGTGAGACTTCTTGTCCATCTGGGCTCTGGATCCCGTAGTCATAGGTAGATGCGGCAGCCACTCAAGAGCCCGGCCCCTGGACGAAGGCACTGTCCAATCGCGACCAAGAAGCGCGGTGGCGGGGCGGCCATTGGTCCCTGTAAGTGGCCCGGAGCAGCACGTTCGGCTGAGCGCGACTATATAGCTGGCGGCGGGCACGCGTGCCGCGGCATCGCGCTAGGGACGCCGCCACCTAATCCCGCGCATCAGCCCGGTCCTCCCGCTCAGCCGCGCAGGTACGTGGGTCGCGGATGGGGCGGGGCGGATGCGGGCCGGGCGGGAGCGGAGCTGGGGCCGCGAGCGGGACACTTGGGGAGGCCGCGCGGCGCGTCCCCACCCCCACCAACGGCCGGCGCGGCCTTCTGACTGCGCTCTGGGCCGCGCGTGGTCTGCGGCGCCAACGGCCTTATGGGGCCCCCGGTGGGCGTCACGCGGTTGGGTGGCCCGCGTGCTCTATGCACATCTTCCGGCGCGCGCCTTCTATCCGGGTAGATGTAGCTGGGCCTGGACTTAAGGAAGCCTTCGGGATGTGGGGAATGGGGGTGGGGGTGATCCCCATGCTGAAAGCGCGATTGGGCCTCCCAAGTCTGTAGAACGGAGGCGCGCGACCCAGGGATCAAGGGGTTAGAGTTGCAGGGACAGTCAGCCACAAGACTTGCTCTCTACAAACCCCACTGTGTACCTCTGCACTATGCCAAGAGCTTCCTCCTTTCCCGCCCTTGCCGGTCACCTGGGCGCAATCAGGTAAGTACAGTGACCTGGAAACGGAGGTGGGTGACTTGGATCGAGACTCTCAGCCGGGAAGGACAGGCATTTGTGTAGATTGCGTGGTAGGTACGGGGCATCCTTGACCCCTGAGCTCTTGAGCCTGGGTGCAAACATCAGCATGCATGGGAAGACCTGCGGTGGCATCTGTGCAAGCCAGTGGCAGACTCAGGAGAACCGAGGTAGCAAGTGGGGTTTTGAATGACAAAGGAAGACTTGGTTTTCTTCGAAACTAAACGGATTCCTATATGGAGAGCTGATAGATGCGCCCTCAGGTTAGTTCCTGGTTAAAGTAGAGAAGAAAGTACAGCCAATGAAATGTAATGAACGAATGTGCCCCTCAGCCGATCAGAAACCGCGAGGTAATGGGAAATTCCCGCCAGCAGGAAGTCAGGCCTGTCACCAGGTCTTGACTTTTCCAGATCCCTTTTAATTCTTAATGTTTTAGTTTTGAATTTGAGCAAACAAATTAGAAAAGTTGAGGAGATTATAGTTTAAATTCTCACAGGAGTTGAGGTGAAAGTTTGAAATTGGATAGGACCCTGGATCCAGCTCAGAGGTGGAGCCCTTGGCATGGAATACAGGAAGCCCCAGGTCCAATCACCAGAGCCACAAATAAATCACATCTGAAATTGCTGGGGAAAGGATGTTCAGTGTCCAGTGATTGTGAATTGGAACGCAATCACAGATTGGGTTTTGTTGGCAAGCATAGCGGTTAGGTCTCCTGCCAAACCATCTATGATCAACTTATTCTTCTCACTATGGAGTTCAGACTGGCATGGAAAGAACTCAAATCCCCCTGAGTGTAGGAGTTAAAGTGTTAAGTTGTATCCCACCAAGACCAGCCCAACTATTTTAACCCTCATTTGGCTGTACTCATAGTGTTTGATGTCTTCAAGGATTTGTGATCAATCTATCTTTCTGTGTGGTGACTATGTTTAAGATCATCAGGATTTTATAAAACATGTTAGTTTGTAGTTCCAAGTCATGGCAGATGTTTCCAACTGGAAAGGAAAAAGACTACAATGAAAGTTTTGGTACTTGCTCTCAAGGCACACACTGTTGCAAAGTTAAAAACCAAAGAAGTTTAATATTGAGTTTCTGTCTTCCAAATAAATACAAAGTGGCAATAAAGAACCACACAGTATGAGTGCTGAATTTACTGGGTTGCTTCTGAATATAACATTGTTTCCTTGGAACTTGCTGCAGTTAATGTGCAGGTAGGCTATATCAGTAATCCATCACATTTTAAAACAAGGGTGACCTGCCTTTAACCTGGGAAGTTTGAGTCCAGCTAATTTTATTAACTGCTTGAGGTGAAATTATCTAATTGAGAGAAACTTGTTAATTTCATCCTCAGTGTTTAAAACAACTGCCCTTGCCCTCAGACAGATGGTTAGTAGGGCAGGAATAGGAAATGTACAGACTCACTCTTAGCTTCTTGTCAGGAAGAAGTGAGATGCTGCACAGTAACAGAACCCCTAGGCCGCTCCCTCCTCAGCTGGTCAGGGGTTACCATTTACCTGTGTGGAAGTTCAGGTTTCTCCATTTGTAGACCAGGCTGGCTTCAAACTCAGAGATCGCCAGCCTCTGCCTCCAAATTGCTGGGACTAAAGGTATGTGCCACCACCTCCTGGTTGCATATGTTTCTTTTTTTCTTTTCTTTCTTTCTTTTTTTTTTTTTTTTTCCATTGGAGGAGTTCAGTGCTAACAGGTTTAATAGCTGAGAATTTGTGATCCAAACCAAGTTTTTTTTTTTTCTCCTTTTTTTGGTCAGTCTAATAAAACTGCCTAGTTAGTTTTTTAAGTTCCAGTACTCAAATAGAATGAATACTTAAATTATATCACGTTGCTTATAGTTCAATCTGAGAATGATGATGCAAACTTTAATTCCACCATTCTGAGACAGGCACGTAGATCTCTGAGTTCCAGGCAAGCCTGGTCTATATAGTGAGCTGCAGGTCAGCCAGAGAGCTACACTGTGTGAGACCCTGCCTCACAAAGAGGAAAAAAAAAAAAATCAAAAAAGAACTGCCATGTTCCCTTTCCTCCATAGTTGTCTTAGTTGGGGAACCTACCCAAGCTCAGGAATTAAATTTAGGTTCAGCAGCTGTCACCCCACTTGAACCCTGTGACCAATGTCCGTTGGGTAGAAATACTTGCTATTTATTTAGTTTTTTTTTTTTTTTGCCAATTTTTTCTGGGAGTTGCTAGGTGATAGGGTTAAGAGCTAGGAATACTTACAATGCATGGTTTGTGTTATAAAACAGAACGCTGCAGCCTAGGAAGGGCTTTGTGATGTTCTTCAGCATGCGCTGCATTTTAGGTATAAAAGGTAAAGATTAAAATGGCCAGTGGGAGAAATGTGTCTGGAATTGGAGTACATCATTGTCAGTATCAGTTTCTGGTAGCTGATCACTAAGTGGCTGCTTTGGTGTGGTGGATTGAAATTGAGACTTGATATGGACTCTTACTCAACTATAACCCCAGGTACTTCTGTTGTTTTAAAAATCGTTTCAGCTCCATAGAGAGTTCAGGCCAGCCTGAATTACATGAGACCTCATCTTTAAAAAATCCTGTCTACCTGGGCATTGTGGGATCCAGGGAGCTATTAGTATTGAGTGTAATAATGTACCTTTTCATTTAGTCAGTTTTCTTTTTTTGTGGTGCTTGCAATCAAACCAGAACTAGGAATCTGTGCATGCTGAGCCAGTGTTCTGCCCTTTAGCTGCATCCCTAAACTTTGGGGTATTGCTGTCTAGCACAGGCTGCCTGGTCTCCTTAGGCTGAGTTTAAGGTGTGGGCTGTCAATGGGTTAACTAGTTCTTTGCTAACTTTTAGAATGGGCAGGGGCTGGCAGGGAGAGAAAAGCAAATTGTTCAGCTTGCTAGGACTTGTAGTTTTTCTTCCTGGAAAGCTTAGTATTTGAGATAATTTTAGATTCACAGGAGAATTGCAACACAGATCTGTGTGTCTCATCCTATGCAGTCAATGTGTATTTCTGAAAATCGATGAAGCTGGTGAAACCCTGTTGACATATGCTTTATTTCTGTTTCCTTGGGTCCTTCTGCAAATGTCCTTTCTCAATTTCAGGATCCACCTGAAATTCCTCATCTGTTATCTCCTCTTACTCTCTTGAGTTTCTATTCTTTGTCCTTCATGACCTTGACATTTAGGATCTCACTTGGGTTTGTCTTACGACTGGATTTGGATTTATGGCTTTGGGGGAGGACCACAGGGGTCTGTCTGTTCTGTACCACATTCATAGCACTGTAGCTTGTGGTACCTGGACGGTGTCCGGAGAGTCAGGTAGCATGGGTCCGGTTAGTTACTATGTTTCCTTTTCCACTGTTTATTAAATCCAGTTCATACCCAAGGAAGGGAAATGCCACTGTTTCCTTTAGTAGAGTTTGTAGGCATGTATACTAAGGCGACTAAGATTTATGGCTTTTTGTGAGGAACTTTCACTTTGTAGACCAGGCTATCCTTGAGCCTCTGCCTGGAAAATGCTTACACCACCACACCCAGTTGGGTTTTGTTTTTGAGGTAGGGTCTCCTAATAACCTAGTTCATTTTTGTTGTTTTGAAACAGGATTTCTCTTGTCTCCCAGGCTAACCTTGTACTTGATCTGTCTCAGTCTCCTGAAATGTTGGATTACAGCACCCCAGCTCCTCTTGTTAATTTTTATTCTTTGAGTTGTGTCCAGTATTATTTTAACCCCCCCCCCTTTTTTTTTTCTTGACAGTTTCTCTGTGTAACAGCTCATGGCTGTCTTGGAATTCAATTTGTAGACCAGGCTGGCTTTGAACTCAGATTTGCCTGCCTATGCCTGGAAAGCTGGGATTAAAGAAAGGCATGAGACACCACTACTTGCCTATCCAAATTTTTAAAATTATTTGTATTTTAATGTTTTGCTAATATAATCACTTCACTCCCTCCCTTTTGGTATTTCTTTTTGTGGAGGTCGACAGTAAACCTAGGGTCTTGGGTGTGCTAGGCCAGCCCTGTGACGTCACTATTTTCCCTGTCTTCTCTACTTTTTATTTGAGTTGCTTATTTTCCCCGAATGGTCTTGAACTCTGGAGCCTATGCAAACTTTGAACTTGTAGTTTTCCAAGTAGCTGGGCTTAAAAGCATGTTCCCTGAAATGTGACTGCTTCTGTTACTTAAGTATTTTCTTCCTTGCATTAATTAACAGGGTATTTTGCTTGATCAGTTTAAAATTAGCCTTTCACCAGGAAGAATTTGGGAGGGATGTGGCATATAGGGAGTCTAAAGAATTTAGGAAACAGATTGGCAGCGAGTGACTGGTCTATACTTTGCCTTTTGTGTGTGTGTGTATGGGGGGGTGGTTTTCGAGACAGGGTTTCTCTGTATTGCTTTGGAGCCTGACCTAGCTCTGAAGATCAGCTGTATTCTAACTCAGAGATCCACCTGCCTCTGCCTCCCCAGTTCTGGGATTAAAGGCCT